CTGCTCCCTCTGTCGTCATTTCTACTACTCTCCTATTAATGGAACATAATGGCTCTGAAGAGGAGGATTTATCAGGTTTCAAAATATGTTTTTCTCACATGCTTTTGGAGGTATCTGAATGTCAGCTATTCTGTATAACTGACAAAACAATGTCAGTTAAACAGTGTACATAGGAAGTGTACATAGGAAATCCCTAACTAGAGTTTGAGGGAGAGAAAGTATCCTATTTCTCTTTCTATCTTTTTGAAGAGGTGTCATTTCTTGACGCACATGAGCGCATTACAGCTGGACTTGACATGTCTTGCTTTTTATTCATGATTTAATTGAACTTTTTAAAAACAATGAATACTAATCTTGATGTACCTGCAAGTTCTTCTATTTTTTATCAAATGTTCATGGTTAAAATTAGATTCCAAGAAAGTAAGCCATCGAAATCTACGGACTGTCCAAAAATCAGAATGATTTTGTAATATTTCTCTATGCAAGCTTTCTTGATGACATTGTACTTTATGACACTTGTGGCTGTGGTGTGTTTTTGTGTGTGCAAGAGAGTGCTTGTGCATACACTTATTTTAATGTTTCATTCAGGCAGCGAAGAGTTCCCCATTTTGTTCTGCCATCCCCTTGGTTTTCTGTCCCCTCTCTCCAGCAGTCAATCAGACAACACTGTGCAGCCACTGAATATGCACAGGTTTTCCCCCTATAGATTTATTTCCTTTTACTTCTTCAATATGTGGAGATTCATTGAAGATGCTGAGACCTCCCACTGGTGATATTTCATTAAATGATCCTACTTTGGCTACAGAAACAACAGAACTCACTTTTGAGCATCAAAAAAACAGGGCTGATATCCTGCTATGCAAAAAGGGACCCTAGTTTTAAAAACTTCTCAGTGTTTTTTTCCATACTGAAGAGGATTAGGCACAATTCATGGAGGATGGGCCTCCAGACAGCTGACGTAAAACAGCTAAAATGGAAACTCCACAGTGAGAAATCAGCATAACCTTACATGCTAAGCGGGCCAAGCGCCCATGCTGTAACTACAGCTGGACTTCATGGCCAATAGCCAGTGTTCTTTTACCACCTCTGAAGAAAGAATCAACTCAAAAAGTAAAATGCTATGGGGCAACAGCAAACAGGGCTGGAATCAGTACCTGGGCCAATATGGGAATGCTAAGTGTTAACTCGCTGCTGTGTTTTGTCTTATTTTTACAAATATTTTGTTGCCATGCATGTTTGCAGAGCTTATTTTTTAATGTTATTTGTTTTATTTTAAAAATAAATCATCTTCTTCTGCATCAAAATGGTAGGTACAGTATATCACAGGAGTACACATCTTTTCATGTGACAACACTAAAGATATGACACTTGGTTACAATGTACAGCAGTGAGTATACAGCTTGTAGAACAGTGTAAATGCACTGTCCCCTCAAAATAATGCAACACACAGCCATCAATGTCTAAACCGCTGGCAACAAAAGTGAGTACACCCCTAAGTGACAACGTCCAAATTGGGCACAAAGTGTCAAAACTTTGTGTGGCGACCGTTATTTTCAAGCACTGCCTTAGCCCTCTTGGGCATAGAGTTCACCAGAGCTTCACAGGTTGCCACTGGAGTCCTCTTCCACTCCTCCATGACGACATCACAGAGCTGGTGGATGTTAGAGACCTTGCGCACCTCCACCTTCGGTTTCAGGATGCCCCACAGATGCTCAATAGGATTTACGTCTGGAGACATGCTTGGCCAGTCCATCACCTTTACCCTCAGCTTCTTTAGCAAGGCAGAGGTTGTTTCGGAGGTATGTTTTTGGCTCATTATCATGTTGGAATCCTGCCCTGTGGCCCAGTCTCCAAAGGGAGGGGATCATGCTCTGTTTCAGTATATCATAATACATGGTTCCCTCAATGAATTGTATCTCCCCAGTGCCGGCAGCACTCATGCAGCCCCAGACCATGACACTCCCACCACCATGCTTGATTGTAGTCATGACACACTTGTCTTTGTACTCCTCATCTGGTTGCTACCACATACACTTGACACCATCTGAACCAAATAAGTTTATCTTGGTCTCATCGGGCTACAGGACATGGTTCCCAAAATCCATGTCCTTAGTCTGCTTGTCTGCAGAAAACCATATGCACTTTCTTGTGCACCATCTTTAGAACAGTCTTCCTTCTGGGATGACAGCACTGGAGACCAATTTGATGCAGTGTGTGGCGCATGGTCTGAGCACTGACAGGCTGAGCCCCCACCCCTTCAACCTCTTCAGCAATGCTGGCAGCACTCATGCATCTATTTCCCAAAGCCAACCTCCAGATAGGGCGCTGAGCACGGGCACTCAACTTCTTTGGTCAACCATGGTGAGAAAATCATATGCGCTTTCTTGTGCACCATCTTTAGAAGAGTCTTCCTTCTGGAATGACAGCACTGGAGACCAGTTTGATGCAGTGTGTGGCGTATGGTCTGAGCACTGACAGGCTGAGCCCCTACCCCTTCAACCTCTTCAGCAATGCTGGCAGCACTCATGCATCTATTTCCCAAAGCCAACCTCCAGATAGGGCGCTGAGCACGGGCACTCAACTTCTTTAGTCAACCATGGTGAGGCCTGTTCTGAGTGGAACCTGTCCTATTAAACCACTGTATGGGCTTGGCCACCGTGCTGCAAACTCAGTTTCAGGGGGTTGGCAATCTTCTTCTGGCCTAGGCCATCTTTATGTAGAGCAGCAATTCATTTTTTCAGATCCTCAGATAGTTCATTACCATGAGGTGCCATGTGGAACTTCCAGTGACCAGTCTGAGAGAATGAGAGTGATAACACCTGCTCCCTCTTCACACCTGAGATTTGTGACACTAATGGGTCTCATGACACCAGGGAGGGGAAACGGCTACTTGTGTCCAATTTGGACATTATCACTTAGCACGGAGCCATTTTGTTTACCTGGTGGTCATTTTGAAACCGTCGATCAGCTGGAGGAAAATCTTCATTTTGTGAAGAATGGGTTCCCAAAGTAGGGAACCGATCATCGCAAAGCGAAAAAACCCCATTCAGACAATCGTTTTGCGTTCACAAATTTGATCGCAAAAAGATCATCGTAATACAGTTTCATTGTAATGCGGGGCAATCGTAAAGCAAGGCACATACTGTATGTCAAAATAAATGTGTTCATCTCTGGTGTAGCAGAATCAGTGTAGATATACGGGATGGTGTTGGGTTGCATGGAAAGAAGAGGAAGAATAGCTGTGTTCCAACTGAAGTTATCCACATGGTTACTGACCTCACACAAACACACACATTTAAATTATAAATGCTAGGCGAAACGTTAGGAAGAACAACCTTCAGAACATGGCCAAGGAGCCCAAAAACCCACAACAACCATAAATAGTAGAGTTTCAAATCACCCAACTGCACCACTAGTGAGGACAACCAATAAAGATGAATGGTTGTTCCTCCAGCCCTGCCATGTACATACTTTCTTGAGACATCTTGTTGCCCACCGCTGGAAACAATGTGATCAAATACATTTGTCCTGCGAGGTTCTTTTGATATACAGCAGTAGTCCCAACCTTGGGTCCCCAGATGTTCTTGGATTACAACTGCCAGAAATCCTGGTAGTAGAAAATGGTTTCTGGGAATTCTGTTCCAAGAATATCTGGGGACCCAAGGCTGGGAAGCATTGATATAGAATGTGGTTTAAATCAGTGGTAACAATGGTTAATATTCTTATGCTCTAACAATCCAGATGAAGGTCATATACTTTTGCTTAACACTTGTTTCTAATAGGTTAGGAATCTGTTTCTCTGACTACCTCATATGCCTATTGGGCCACATATTGATTTTGTAACAGACATTCAAATGTAACACAATTATGTGGATTCACCCTGACTATATATAATGCAGATACATACTGCACATAAAGCTGCTTCCAAATATTTCCATCATGGATAGAGTGGGTGGCATATAAGTTAAATAAA